ACTTTCAAATACAATTAAATGTTCCCATGAATGAGCCCCGAGGGAATCCCTGCCATGGCAGGGACACCTCCCACTGTCCCAGGGTGTTCCAGCCTGGCCCTGGGTACTGCCAGGGATCCAGAACAGCCCCAGCTGCTCTGGGCACCTGTGCCAGGGCTGCCCACCCTCACAAGGAAGGATTTTTTCCTAATATCAGCAAAATAAATATGCATTAACCTATTATGAAATTCTATGCATATAGAAATTAGTAAGGGTAATAAAAAAAGATCAAGAGTTCTCAGAGGTACCCATGTCCATTAAAGGGCAAAGAGCCCCGACATGCGTCCACAGCACTGTAAATAAACATACCTATTCCCTGCAAATCTTTAGAATTAGAATTGTGAGTTTAATTTTTCATCTGTGTTTCAGCTCAGCCGAAGCTGTCGTGGAGGGGTTTGAAATTGCAGCAAGGGCTGCAAGGCTTCCTGTGGCACCCCTGGATACGCAACAACAAACAAACATCAACTTGGCTGGGCTCAGCTTGAAATGGTTTTCAACAAACATCAACAAAAAACATCAACAAAAACATCAATAAACAAGCATCAACCTGGCTGAGCTCAGCCTGAAATGGTTTTCAACAAACAAACATCAACAAAAAACATCAACAAAAACATCAATAAACAAGCATCAACCTGGCTGAGCTCAGCCTGAGATGGTTTTCAGAGGGGTTTTCCCCGTGCAGGTGCAATAGTTGGGCACAGGGATAATTGCAGAGCATTTCCTGCCACAGCAATGCTGCTGAGGGTTGGTGCTTCGAGGAGTTCAGAGAGCAGAAAAAAAACCCCTTTGTATTTTTATATCATTCAAGTATCATCATAAACTGTACTGCCAAGGTGGTAGGGGACTTATGGACAATTCATAAGTGATGTTGCAGAAATAATTTTGGGTTTTATTACTCAGCTGAAGTGGATTGGGTGGGCTCTGACATGTCTAAAATGCTCACAGCAGAACAGGTAATCTGTTTGCTACCATTACATTGATTTATTGACAATCCGCTCAAGAGAACTGGAAATATATGTAGAAATAGGAAATTCTTCAGTATAGAGATGACAAATGTCCTGCCTCAGTTACTATGACTCAATGTGAAAAGTAGCCCCCTAATCTTTACAAGCATTGATGGAAAATTTGGAGTGTAAAAAAATGACTCACTGAGCTTTTCCTTCCCGCTACATTTTCTATGAAATTTCCAGGAGGCAGTTTATGTACAGTAAACACTGAGATCATAATCCACGATGAAAACCCTAATTCCAGTACACTTATTAGGCTTGCAGAGAGCAGGACAGCAAGGCATTGAGTTTGAATCAAGATTTCAGCATTCTCCAACCCTCACAGCTGCAGCAGGGCCTCTAACCTATAGAAAATTAATCTCGATTGAATGTGGATACAGAAATAAATGTAACAAACCTTATACACTGGGTCCAGTCTTTCAAAATAGGAACACAGAGTGTTTCAAAATGTTTTCTGGTTTGCATGTAACATAAAGAAATCATGTCATGCAAGAGGGCACCAGGGCTGTCACTGAAAGTCTCTGGCAAAGAAAGGATCTGTGTCTCTAATGTCACTGCAGCACAGCAGTAAGGTGGAACCCTGAATTCTATATTTATAATTTCACAAACGTGCTTATTTCCAGGTATTTTTTTTTGTTGTTGTTTTCACTCTGCTTTATCCAGGATCCTTGCTATCCCTCCCAGTCATTGGTGTTGTCATCATGAGAAGCACAGGGGGACATCAGGCACAGGAGCCTTCTGTCCCCCCGAGGTGAGGAACCCAAACTTCCCAGAACCACAGGAGCACTGAGGTTGGCAGAGACCTCTGAGACCACCGAGTCCAAGCTGTGCCTGATGCCCACCTTGTCCCCAGCCCAGAGCTCTGAGTGGCACCTCCTTGGGCACCCCCAGGGATGTGGATCCAAACCTCCCTGGGCAGCTCCAATTCCTGACCCCCTTTCCATGGGGAAATTCCTGCTGGTCCCACCCTGAGCTCCCTTGGCCCAGCCTGAGCCGTTCCCTCTGCTCCTGTCCCTGTTCCCTGGGATGATCCCAAATCCCCCCGGCTGTCCCCTCCTGGCAGGAGCTGTGCAGAGCCACAAGGTCCCCCTGAGCTCCTTTGCTCCAGGCTGAGCCCCCTCAGCTCCCTCAGGGATTCTCCATTCCCTTCCCAGCTCCCTCAGGAATTCTCCATTCCCTTCCCAGCTCCCTCAGGAATTCTCCATTCCCTTCCCAGCTCCCTCAGGGATTCTCCATTCCCTTCCCAGCTCCCTCAGGGATTCTCCATCCCCTTCCCAGCTCCATCCCCTGCCCTGGACACACTCCAGCCATGAAGGACAAGACCCGGATGGGTCTCATCACTGCTACTTCCAACATCACCAAGAATCCCACTGAATTCAACCACCGAACCCTTCCCTACCCCAAATTCAGCCCTACCTTTGCAGCTGTGTTGCTCCTTGGGCTTGCATCCATTGTTGTCATCCTGCACTTGGAGCAGCAGAGCCACGGTGGGATGGGGACGCTTCAGCCCTGCCCAGGCGCCGCGCGTGGGGAACTCCCCTCAGCCAAGTCCATCTGACAGCTCTGCCCCTAGCAGCCCTTGCAACCTGGAGACATCCTGGTGTAAGATACCATCTGAGACAACAGGACACAAAAGGAGGGCAGAATAAACCCCCCCAAAAAAAGCCCTTTTGGCCACTCCAGTGAGAAAATGAAGCGTCAAGTGGGATTTTCCTTGGTCTTCCTGCACCAAGTTGTCGCAGTTGAGCAGTGGGAAGCGGAGCCCTCTGCCCGTGCTCCTGTTTCCTCTTTTGCAGCAGTGAGAGCAGGGCTGGGGCACAGCGAGGAGCTGCCGAGGCTCGATAAGAGAGCCCTGCCCCAGTGCCAGCACTGCAGGATGGCACTGCCAGCCTCTCCCGGCTTTCCAGGCGGTCCCGGCTCTCACAGCAGCAGCAGGAGCCAGGAATTCAAAGCACCTCCAGGGAAAAGTGTTTCCAGAGCCAGGGAATGGTTTGGCTTGGAAGGGGCTTAAGGAGCACCTCACTCCATGGGCAGGGACACCTTCCAGCAGAGCAGGTTGTTCCAAGCCCATCCAACCTGGCTTTGCACACTGTGTTTTGCATTTTCTCCCTCACTAGGATGAGGTCAGTTTTTCTCAGCCCTTCTTTTTCCAACAGAAGTCCACCAACCTCGTGGCCTCAGGATGTCCAGAACATGGAAAGGCAGCAGGGTGCCAATGGCAGGATGGTTTTGTGTTAAAAAAGGAACTTTTTGCTCTTGCACTCTGAGTTCAAGCCCCCAGAACTGCAGAAGCTTGAGGTGAGAGCTCCCACTGTTCACAACCACAGCGGTGCTTTAACACATCAACCACAAACAGAGGGTTTAAAAGCAGATTCCAAACACCAACGAGTGCATGAATTACAGACAGGTGCTTCAGCAGAATTAAAAAAAAAAAGGTGGCACTCCAAAAATAAAAAAGCCACGGCTGTCACCCATCGCACATCACGCCTCAGTGACTGTGTCAGGACTTCCCTTTTCCCTGCCCCCAGCTCTGCTCCTCCTGGTTTCTCCACCAAAAAGGCCACCAGCACCAGTATCCCTCAGCACCACTGCTTCTGAAGGGTCACAAACTCAGAGGCAGAGGAGGAGCAATGAGGATTAAGCCTCAGAAATGTTTTGCATAAAGGGAGCTTTTCAAGAGAAAAATGAATTTCATTATTTAAATAAAAATCTCCCACATTCTACATTTTGAGTATGTAATTGTACCTGATTCAGGTGGAACACATCAACTGCATCATTCCAAAGTCCCCAAGCCCCAGCCTCCAATATTTGACCATTTCTCCTTTGTTATACAGAAAATAAATACAATTCCTTCTTTATGTATCAAAGAGCTTTTTAAAAGGCAATCTTTATTTAAATACAGACAAAACCTGTACCCTCACCAGCCCTTGACAATTCCTCAGTGTAATGGAAATTAATCCAGGAGCAAGAACCACCTCACATTTAAAAACCCTCACAAAGGCAAGTGCTGAGCTCTGACCAGAGGAACCTCCCAGCTGTGATGCCCAAGAGCTCTGCAGGAGGAGGCCTCAAAAAACAAGTTTAAGGCTCTGCTCAGGCAGATCTCTGGGAGAGTAAGTAGTGAATCTTCCAACTTAGAGAAGTTGTAAGCACAGTTTCTCAACGATGGGCACTGGGTTTGTGACTAGTTGAAAAAGAATGTAATTCAAGTGCTGTGTAACAGACATAGATGAAGATTTCTCAGTGACATTTCTGAGGTACACATACAAAAATTCAGATGCACAAGTTTCTTTCTTTGAGAGGATATTAAAGTCTCTAAGGCAAAATTATTCTTGTTTTCACCTGCAGCAGCACTGTCACATTTTAATTGCAATGTGGATATTCCTTAAAATTATTAGGAATTCGCTTTGAGGTCCCACTTGTTAAGGTAAATTCAAAAGAGGATGAGATGAAGTCTGACTTTAACACAAGAACTAGAAGACCATTTCTTAAATTCATCTAAACAATTAAAAATCCTGTTTGGATTCTTATGGCACAACTGAGAACTGCAGGCCTACTTGGCCAATAAACAAAAACCACAAAAAAGAATTCACCAAAACCCCAGACTGAAAGATACA